CAGCACATTTTTAGAGCAAGACTGGTACACACATCTGCAAATAGGTTAATGTTTTCACAGCAAAAAAAATTAACGTGATGAAGAAAGGAGAGAAGTGGAAGGGAATTTCACAATTTTATTATTTCACAGAGTTCTAACAATCTCTCTCTCTCTCTCTCTCTCTCTCTCTCTCTCTCTCTCTCTCTCTCTCTCACACACACACACACACACACACACATATACACATACACATACACATAAACCTTTCCCTCCATCAAATAATGATAGTCTGCCATGCACTAACTCCATCCCTGGCACCTAAAGTCCAAAATAGAAAGAACACATTATAACTAAATGATCCTCAAAATCCTTAATCCTCCGGAGCTGTTCCAGTTGCAACAAGCATATTGTCACTCTAATGACCTCTTTGAACATCTACAGAGGACTTCAGAATGTCTAGGAAGGAACAGTCTGGAAACATTTGGGAAGGAGGTGTCAGGTAAAGGGCTGCAGAGCTGCTATGAGGCTTGGTCTTTTGACACTGACCTTTCCAATTTTTTTTTTTAAAGCAAGATTTGAAGGTCAGCTCAGCTCCTCTACAAAATAATAAAAGTATGTGATCCTTACTATGCACTCAGTACTATTTTAGTTTCTTTACATATCACTTGAAAATCTTAACAACTCTATGAGATGAATAATATAATTTTTTAATGTTAAGAAACAACTTGCCCGAGTTCATACTATTAGTGGAGGAGCCAGGATTCCAAATCAGGCAATTTAGTTGAGGATTTGTGTTTCTTTTTATTTTATTTTTTTCAGTGCTAGGGATTGAGTCCAGGCAAGCACTCTGCCACTGAGCTATACCCCCAGCCTGAATGTGTATGTTTTCACTTTGTCATCATACACCACTCATGTTAAGGACAGAGATATGAATATAATACAGCTCCTCTCTGCATGAGGTTCAGAGGGTACCCCCCTAGAGGTCCAATGATAGATAAGAGGATCAAGAGCTGAAATGTTCTCAGGAATTTTGAACCCTCGGTCTGAAATAACCAAATAAACCTGACTTAGGGAGAACATAAAATCTGAATTTGGTTTCCAAAGTGCAATGTATCAGCACAGCTGAGAGAAATATGTTGTGACCACAAGTTCTCTGGAAAAAATCTGAGTGTTTTTGGTGACCATAGACTCAGCACAAGCCCAGCAAGGTGTTATGAACTCAAGAGCAAAACACTGGACTTAATAGTAAAAGGGAGGCCAAGGGTTCCATGGTGTGGCAAGTGAAAGTCCCCCTGAGCTCTGGCCAGCTCAGAGGACATCTAAGTCCATTCTTCCAAACATAGAGTAATATTTTTGGAGGAACACTGACAAACTATGGTATATTTAGTTGTGGCAGATGGGGAAGGGTAAAGAAATGATAGTGAAACTAAAGACTTATCTTCTTTAACTATTTGGCCATGCCATGGAAAAGTCAGTAGAAGACAAGTTTATCTTCACAGGACAGAAAAAAACAAGATCAAAGTGTGAAGTCATAAGATGACAGGTTTGGCTCCTTGGCACCACCACCCACCCCATTCCAACCCCAGGCTCTGTCTTAAGGCTTAGATGACTTCAAGATCGGGGTCTTCATTTGCTCACTTTTTCCTTGGTTGACTTTATATTTATATCTCTATCCTTAATATAAATGGCATATGATAACATGGTTAAAGCACATACTCAGGCTTGGGGGGTGTGTAGTTCCATGGCAGAATACTTGGCTGGCATGTGTGAGGCCCGGGCTTAATCCCCAGCACTGAAAAAACTAAAATAAAACAAAGAGCAAACACAAATCCTCAGCCAAATTGCCTGGTTTAGAATCCCGTCTCCTCCACTAACAGTATGAACTTGGGCAAATAGCGTGTCTTGTTTTTCTTAACGTATACACACACACACACACACACACAAATGTACATATATTTCATCTCATAAAGATATTGAGATTTTCAAGTAACATGTAAAAAACCTAGAGCAGTACTAAGTACATATGACTTCCCAAATTTTTGTTATCAACAAAACTCCCTTTGGTGAAATTCTATTGTCATTTTAAAACATCTCCATTAATAGTACCTTTATTCCTCAATTATGGGTTGATTTTATAAATGACAATATTTCCAAATAACCAATGACCAAACCTAAGCAGAATTTTGATTTGAGGCCTCAATGCTTTTTTTTGAAAACACAATTCATTTCCTCCCCAGCCCCCACCCTAGAAAGAGAACTCAGGACCTCTGGCATGTTAAGCAGGCTACACCTCCAATTCCATATATCTCTTTTTATTGACTCATTGTTCACTATAGTATTGGCTGGTGATAAGGGTATTTTTCCATTAGGACTCAAGGAAACTGTTTTCTCATGAAAGTCAACATTGAATACAATGTAGTAATCCCAAGTTATTATCGCTGGAAGCTAGATTGAAATTAATGACCTTGGAATGGAACACACAAAAAGCGCTGCACCAATCAATTTCCAAAGCTCCCCAAAGCATTTTTCCTAATACTTTAAAGTTGATCACAAGGAAATAAACTCTGCTTTTGTTTCTTTTTCTCTTTTGTGGTGTAAGAGAGAACATGTTGTATTTGTTATTCACAATTTATAACCCTATGGTTTCTTCAGCTTATGAAAATGTTTTATAACTTTATTGATACGAATTGTCCTCAGAAAAAAAAATGTTCTTAATTTAAAATGTGAAGAAATCATTAAAGGAGAGCCGGGTGCAGTGGTGCACCCCTGTCATCCCAGAGAATGGGGAGGCTGAGGCAGGAGGATCACAAGTTCAAGACCAGCCTCAGCAACTTAGTGAGGACCAAAGCAACTTAAATGAGGCTCTATGCAACTTCGTGAGACCCTGTCTCCTAATGGAGGGCAAGGCTGGGGATGTGACTCAGTGCAAAAGCCCCTCTGGGCTCAATCCTAGTACCAAAAAAAGAAAGAAAAAATGAGAGGAAATACATGTGCCAAATTAGCAGTAAAATCAGTTTATTTTTCTATCATTTTCTTTCTGGGGGCATAAGTTTGCAGCTATATAGAACTAATTGTTAATTATTTTCGGGGGGGGGGGGGCATGATTGAGAGGAATTGGACCCTCAGGTTTACCTGGAGAAAGTGCTACTGTGGCAAATTGAATTGGAGATCTTAGAACATCCTCCCCCTGGGTAGAAGCTCACTGGCAGGTGGAGGTTTACTTACTCTAAGTGAAGGACAGCTCCATAATTCATGATAGCACTTCTTTTTGGTCCGTGCTGGAGATCCAATCCAGGGCCCTGCCCATTGTGGGTAAGCTGTCCTGCCACAGAGCTACACCCCAACATTTGTTCACAGAACTCCGGACATACAACTTATACTTGAAGGTACAAGTTACCCATTTTATAAACTGAGGCCAGGAAAGCTTAGTCTTTTGGGGGGTCTCATCGCTTAGAAAGGATGACTTAATTATAAACACATGTATTTTGATATCCACTGCCCTGGGTACAGAGTCCGGTTCCATGACCTCTGTGACCTTGAGCCTCTAGAACCTCATCTGTAAAGTGATGACAACTCTTCTTTGTAGGGTTAGTTTGAATATTACAGTTAAGCAGCCTAGGCTGTGTAGTTCCTGGTCTGGGACAGAGCGAGTGCCCCCAGTTGTCCAACTTCCCTTTTTTCCTGTTAAAACCTGACTCCTCCATTCAGACTTCAAGGCAGCGTCCCCTCCTCCTCCACGTGGCATCTCTACACTTCCCACACACAGTGCTGGCTCTCTCCTCATATTTGTGGGTATTCGCTTTTATCTCAATTTCTGCAAGAATATGCAATAAATGATTGAATGACTGAGCGTGGTTGTGTAGAGACGAAATCCCCGCCTCCCGCCTGGTGCGGCCAGGCACTGACAACTTGACTGTCCGGATTCTCTTCCTCCACAGAGGCCTTTCTCACCAACCACACGGAAACCATCACCGTGGAGGAAGGGCAGACGCTCACTCTGAAGTGTGTCAGTTCTCTGGGGAAGAACGCCTCCCTCCAGTGGCTGGCCCCCTCAGGCTTTACCATCTTTTTAAATGAGCATCCTGGTAAGTGAATGAAAGAGAAAAAAATACACACACACACACACACACACACCAGACCTTGACCTAAGGGATTTTCCATCCTGACAGGTTAGTGGGACAGAAAGCTGCATGAGTCACCCTAAGGGTGGGCTCAGCCCTCCTACTGCACACGTGAATCACGCCTCCAAAGCCAGTCATTTGACACATGGCTGCTTTTCTGGGGGCAGGAAGTCTGAAATGGAAACCCCACCAGAATGGTTGTTAAATGGGCTCAAATTACAAAGCACCTTTTTGTGTCCCCACCTCACCCCCACATTGCTTTTTGACTCTCGGTGACCATGAAACACCCACAGCAAAATGAGAAGCAGACAGTGGGTCGACCTGGGGGCCCTCACCTCACGTAGCCCACATTATCACCCCACCTCTGAAGCCAGCTGCTTTGTTAGTCATCTGAGCAATCAAAAGTCACATTCCAAAGCCCCCTTTCAGAAATCTCTTTTTCCTCCTGTTGGTCTGAACATAAAATCAAGACCTCTAAGCAGTAGGAATTGACAAAGCCGTTTCTCTCTTCTCAAACACACATTAAATGAGCACTAGATGCCTGAAGTGGAAAGCAAGTCTCAAAAATCTATTTCATTCATCTCTTGGACTTTGGACAAGATTTTACTAAAGCCTTCCCTTTTTCATGAGACCATCTCATGTCTCAGTTTAATATTCCTAACTGCCAGATATTTGATAAAGCATCTACGACAGCAAATTCTATTCTTGTTTACAAAGCAGAGTACCAAAAAATTTTATATGCTTTGAAAACATGAAATATTGATATATTAAACATAAAATAACCATATATACCATTTCAAGCTAAACCAACTATTAATACCAGATTCCAATAGAATAAGAAAGTACTAATTGATAAAAGTTCTAGAGAAATAAACTTTAAGTAGAGATATTTCTGTTAAATAATGCTTTCTGGTGTTTTATTTCATTTTTCTTTTGGGAAATTGGGAGAAGATGGACATTCTGGGATTTCAGCTGCATAATGGCTTGATCTGTCTCTGTGGTTCTGCACCTGGAATGGTCTTGCCCTCCAGAAGATTGAACCATGTCTGGAGATGGTTTGGGTTGTTAGAAATAGGTCAGGGGGCTGCTTCTGGCATCTAGCAGGTGAAGGCCCAGGACGCTGCTGAACATCCTACAATGAACAGTATTGCATCCATCACAAAGAATTATTCTCTCAAATGTCAACAGAGCAGAGATTGAGAATCCCAGAATTCTAATTCATATAATATCAGTACCCCAGGACACATAACTATTTAAGGTTCAACTATTTTAGGTTTGTTCATATTATACATCTTAACAGTTTTTTAAAAAAAATAAGCAAAACCACTAATTTCCAGAGTCTCTGTTTGTTAGGGGATCTTTGACTGCAGATGGAAACCCCATGTCAGTCATAGTCAAGAAGAGAGCTTGTTATTGGCTGGAACTTCTTAGAGTTTCCTTTTTTTGCCATTGGCTAAACACCTGGAAGGACTAAATCATAATCTACGGGAATCTTCAAACAATAACGAACATCTCTAAATTTAAAAATGCTTAGCTTTAAAAAAAATCACTTAGCTGGTGCATTTATCGGTGCATATATCTCCATTCTTGAATTCCCTGTGACAATATGACCTTCAGTGAATCAAATTTCAAAGAGGTAAATCAGTGGAGCACTTACCTTGGAAAAACAACTAGAATCCTACAATCTGAATCTTTGTCCCGTCTAGCATTCGTAATTTCCTACAAGTACAAACAAAGCAATTTGTTTATTTCGCAGATCCACTATTGAAATATTTTATTTCCTAAACTATCTTTGAGAAGCACCCAGCTGATCACACTAGAATTTGGAGGGTGGCTCAAACGAAGACATTTGTTCCTTTAAAGTGTGAAAATCAAAAGCTATTCCTGTGAATGATCAATCTGTATTCATCTGACACCTTTCCTCATAACAGCTCTGTTTTCTTCTTGTACAGCTTTAAAAAATTCCAGATACCAGCTTCTTCATCACTCTGCCACCCAGCTCTCCATCAGTGTGCCCAGCGTAACCCTGCAAGATGAAGGAACATACAAGTGCTTACGTTACAGCAACTCCGTGAGCACAAAGGAAGTGAAAGTGACTGTGTTAGGTGGGTACCCCAGCAAGTAAACCCAGGCAAGGGGAATGTAGTTACCATTTTTAAATCTTGACCTTTTAGTTTACAAAGTGTTGCTAGTAAGAAAGCATTTCCTGGGGGCACCTCTGCTATCTTTTGTAAAAGAAAATGAAATAGAGTATTTTGAGTGACAAGCTCTAGATTAAACTGTGAACTTGTGAATTTATTTGCCTTTGGCATCAATTGAATTTTCTTTCCGGGAAACTAAAAGAAAAAAGAATTAAAACTGGATGAGCTTCAACTGTATGCTGGCGCCATGTGAGACTCTAGGGGATACAAAAGGAATCAGGCGCAACCTCTGCCCATTGGGGTTTGCGCTCTATTTAGGAAGGTAAACTAAAAGAACCTGGTGACAGAGAATCCTAAGATAGGATGGAGTCGCGTGTAGTTGCACTGGATGCTCTGCTCACATCCTCTCCCAAACAATTCCTCTTTTCTGTTGGGGGGTATGCAGAGGAAGTGAGTCTCCTGATCATTGGGGACTAGCTCAGTTCTGCAGATGGTCAATTGTGACCAGTATATGTCTTACCATCTTTTGGTGGCAGAACAGAACAATTAAAAAACATTACTTTATATCCATCTCTAAATAACATAATCCCACAACTCACATAAAATAATTCCTCAGACTTCTCTGGTTGAATTACAGTGTGATGCCTGTCGTAAAGGAAAGGCCTGGTGGGAATGTAACGAGAAGGAGTGACTCTCTTGAGTGCCTGGAGCATCAATGTGACTCAGCTCGGTGCCTTCTCCCCTGTGTGACTGGCCACCTGTGGTGCCAGTCTGGTTCAGGCTGGTCATGTGTCCTTCTGGGCTTTCAAAACTCTGCTATCATTGCCTGAAATACTTCATCTTTTTTTAGTTTTATGGAGCTGGGGATTGAATCCATGGCTTCACACACACTAAGCACCTGCTCTACACTGAGCTACAACACGTGATCCTTTAATTAAGAGTTTAGGGGCTGAGTATTCCACCAGACTGTCAGCTCCTCAGAAGACCCTGTCTTTTTCATCTTTGTGTTGTCAGCATGTGACATGTCTAGCGCATGCTTGGAGCCAATAAGTGCCTTGACAGTGTCTCAATGGCAGATATACAAGTTAAATAAAGATAGAAGAGCAACATTCTAGACCAAAGTAGAAGTGGGATAGAAAAGAAGAAGAAATAAGCCCAACTAAAAAGTATTTCCAAGACAAAAACATAGAGAAATAGGACCAATGGGTCCTTTATAAGAGAGAGTGCCTTTGATGTCAGGAGGGGACAGAAGTAACTGACTTTGAGATAAGTCATAGACTCAGGAAAGTTTAGAACTGAAGGAGCCATCTCCTTCACATCACAGGTGAGAAAACACTGGTGTGCCAAAAAGCTGGGGAACTTACCAAAGTTCTTACAACCAGCCAGTGATAGAGGTAGGTCCGGAATCCAGGTCTCTCCCTCACCTACTGTCTACCAACCAAATACAATAATATATCACATTCAAATTGTTGTAAAATCATCTGTTTTGGAACTTTCAGGGACTAATTACACCCTGAGTGACAAACAGTCTGACTTCAGCTAAAGAAACTTTGCAAGCATATAACAGCCCTTCAACATGATTGGATTCAGGGAAAGATAAAGTGAAAAATGTGCCCATTCATTGGATTATGTCCTACAATCATCCCTACAGAATCTTAGGCTCTGTGCTTTGCTCAGATATGATGACCAACTAAGTAAACATAGAAAAATCAATTTCCTTCTAGCAACTCCTGTGAAGCCAACCTTGGAAGCTTCAGTTATCAGAAGGTTGAATGGAGAAGACCATGTCGTACTTAAATGCTCCACTACAAGAAGCAAACCCCCTCCACAGATAACCTGGCTACTGGGGAATGGCATGGAGATATACAGTAAGGAGAGAAACCAGTTCTTTGTTTACCTTTCTCCTTAGATTTATAATGAATTTTTAAATGTTCTGGCGCCCTCTGGTGGCCAGAGGTATCAAAAGATACCATTGAATAATTCATCTATTCTGTTTCCAGAGAAATTATTCTTATAACCAAACCAATGTTATGCCTTGATACTAAAAGGCTAATTGCAGAAAATAAAAATGCTTTTGCTTAAAACAAGGTAGAAATAAAGTGGAATATTTATAACATTTTTCCTAAAATTTGGCAATATTTCCTAAAGTAAGAAGTGTAATATAGTTATTACCTGTGAACAGAAAGTTTTTTGCAGGCATAAAATTGAAAATATATTTTATAAAGTACATATATGAGCATATGGGGATTCTTCAAAAGACTAGAAGTGTAACCACCATATGACCCAGCTATCCCACTTGTTTAACTAAAATTAGCATACTATAATGATACATGCATGCCAATGTTTATAGCAGTGCAATTCACAATAGTCAAGTTATTGAACCAGATTAGGTGTCCATCAGGAAATGAAGAAATAAAGAAAATGTGGTATATATAGGCAATGAAGTTTTAATCAGCCATAAAGAAGAATGAAATCATGTCATTTTCAGGTAAAGAGATGGAATTAGAGCACATCGTGCTAAGTGAAATAAGTCAGACTCAAAAAATCAAGGGTCAAATGTTTTCTTTCATATACAGAAGCTAGAGAGAAAGAGAATGGAGAAAAAAAGAAATATTTAAAAAGGTGAGGATCTCACAAAAAATAGACGGAAGACCAATAGAGTAGAGGAAAGCTATCAAGAGGGAGGGAGGAGAAGAGGGCATGGGAACGTAGTAGGGAATGAAATCTACCAGATTATGCTATATCTATGTATGAATATACCACAAATAATCATATAATATATATAATCTCATCTGATATGATTAAAATACACTAATTAAGTAACAATAACTACTATAAGGGAAGTCAGTCAGAGCAGAGTCAGCAGATCAGGAGAGAGAGCAAGGGAGGGAAAAGGAGGGTACTTGGAAATGAGATTGATCAAATTATGTTGTTTGCAGGTGTGGATGTGGCATTGTAAATCCCACTATATGTTTAGTTATTAATGAATTAACTAAAAATGGTAAAAATTTTAAAATAGAATCAAACTAAAAAATAAAATACATATATGGATGCTCCTTGACTTACCATGGGGTTACATCTCAACACATCCACTATAAATTTAAAATATCTTAAACGAAAAATACACTTAATACACCTAACCTATCAAACATTAATCATGCTTTGAACACTCACATTTTAGCCTATACATGGAAAAAAAATCCAATACAAAGACCATTTTATAATAAGTGCTGAATATCCTTTTTTAAATTTTATTTACTTTTTTATTTGTTCTACTTAGTTGTACATGATAGCAACATGCATTTCAATTCATTGTACACAAATGGAGCACAACATTTCAATTCTCTCGTTGTTCATGGTGTAGAGATGCACCATTCGTGCAATCATACACATATCTAGGGTAATGATTTCCATCTCTTTCCACCATCTTTCCTACACTCATAACCCTTCCCTTCGCCCAATCAAATGTTCCTCCATTCTTCCCAAGGACCCCCACCCCACCCCATTATAGATCAACATCCACTAATCAGAGAAAACATTCAGCTTTTAGTTTTGGGGGATTGACTTAACTTCACTTAGCATTATATTCTCCAACTCCATCCATTTATTTGCAAATGCCATAATTTTATTCTCTTTTAATATTGTATAATATTCCATTGTGTGTGTATATGTATGCGTGTGTGTGTGTGTGTGTGTATATATATATCTCACAGTTTCTTTATCCATTCACCTATTGATGGGCATCTAGGTTGCTTCCACAGTTTAGCTATTGTGAACTCAGTGCTGAATATCTTGTGTAATTTGATAAATATTCTACTGAAAGTGAAAAACCAGAATGGTCACATGGTATGCTTTCAACCATTGTAAACACGAAAAATCTTAAGCCATCATAGGTCAAAGACCGAATGGATTTGGAACAAGCAAGATCTTCCTTATATAATGTAGTACCGTGTCACACTCATAACGATAGATTAAAAATATTATGAGGACAAAGAATCCAGACTTTCGACCTTTAACTGAAACAGGCTAATTAATTAACTGTGGTGTTGGGAACTACTTAATGGTTTGCTTACATTTCAATATTCATTGTCTTTCATGGCTAAGTAATCATACATCCTTGAGAACTGTGAGGACCCTGTACAGTTAAGAATACTGAGGGCCAAATAGAGTTTTAGAGAGAAAAGAACTAAAACCTGGATCGAATTCCCAGTCCATTGTCAATTCTACTTCATCGCAAGGCTTCTCCTTTAACTTGCCTTATTCATACAACCTGAGTAAGCTCCAGGTCCTTGTGTCCTTCTTATGAAATCACTGTAAGTTTTGAAGTTTTTCTCCAGTAGTGAAGAGTTAGTTGGAACTCACCCACTCTTGTTCACCTGCTTTCCTTTGTGACCAGAGCCCACACACACAAGGCAGCTGGCTGAGGTTAGATTTCGGTTAGAAATTTAACATGTTTGCCACGAAGTCCGAGCCATTGGTCTCTAACAGAACCAAATCCATGGAAGAGCATTAAAAAGCCATGCTTTTTATCTCTCTTTAAATTTCTATATAGGCGGAACCCACCATGAATTTGAAGCTGATGGGAAGAAGTGCAACACGACCAGCACCCTTGTACTGCACACATACGGCAAAAACTCCACAGTGGACTGCATTGTCAGACACAAGGGCCTGCAAGGGAGAAAACTGGTTGCATCCTTCTGGCTTGAAGATTTGGGTAAGGGTTAATGATTGTCTTCAGTCATTTTACATTCACCTTCCTATTGCACTCTCAAACAAAATTAAATGGAGTGGGCAAAGTCCTTCAGAGTGAGATTACTGTCAACAAAGATCTCCTTCATAGCATGTTTCTGCAATGATTGAAATTTCTCCAGCTGAGGACAGAACTGTAAGGGTTCCAATGCCCAGAAGACTCCCAGCTGGGCGTGAGGTCTAGCAGAGCACCACATGCAAATAGCACCATTCTCTCTCTTTGATAATGACAGCTAGCATTACTTGACTGCAGATAGTTTTATTGCAATTACATTGTTGGAGAGAGCATGTGAAGAATACTGCATCGTTGTACTTGACCCAAAAGGAGATAGTAACTAAAATTTATCAAAACTAGTCAATACCGTTATATGTTCTTACAAAATAATTGCACAGTTACATTGAGATGGTGGCCCTTTAGATATACTTTGCTGTCACTGTATTAAAGATTCCCCCAAAGTCCAAGAAATAATTAAAAACCCCCAAACAACTCTTCAAGCCAAGGATCCTATAAGAAGCTACAGGAATCACTGGCCTGTCAGTAGTAGATCTCTGAGCTTCATTATTTTACAAGGTACTTCTTGCTGGAAAATGAGATTCCTGAGTACAAGGAATTGCTCACAGGAATGAAAGAGGAAAATGTTGGATGAGGATACATTACTGAAAAATCTTTTTTATCAAATGAAATAATTTATGACAAAAGGCACTCGTTCAGGGCAAGGTTGCTTAGTGGAACCTCACTAGGGAAGGCTGCCACGCTAATCTGTGCAGGCTGTTGCTGTGATCAGCAGGCCTCCTTCAAACTACCACATGCTGTCCATGGGCCCCTTTCTCACCAACCAAAAACAGTTTATTGAGGAAGCTGTAGTCGAAGACTCAAGGCCCCACAGTCTGGGCTGCACTGTAATCTTGTGTACCCACCCCTACCCCTTGGTGATTCCCCACACTTCCCCCTCCGCCAGTAGAATTCGAAAACAGAGACATTTAGGTTCTTAAATAAGAGAACCAACAATGTTGGGTGGGAATGTATGTTTACTTTTCAGCAATGTTTCAAGCCATCTATCATTTTTTCCCTCCTTTTATGCTATACTTCTATATGTCTCAAAATTACATCTAGAAATATTTATAAAAATAGGCTAAGATGAGTTGTATTTGTGATCTATTGACTGTCTAGTGCCATAGTCAGATCTCTAAGTACTCAAAGAGGACTGCGAGCATCAGCTGGTGGTGGCTTCTATTTGTTTATGACCTTGTTTCTTTGGTGAGCTATGTCTAGGTTGACATTCAGATATTACAAATAGTCATTAGTTTAAAACATTTGCTAGCTGAGGATGTTTTAAAACACATTTACAAGTGAGAGTTCTGAACCTTTCATTCCTGCCCTCTCTGTAGCGTAGGACCTGGGTGGGGGGCAATGAACCATGTCCATGAGGTGCCACCCTACACGAGGTGCATTAGAGGAGATCAGACTCTCTTCAGAACCACTTACTTCATCTTCTCAATGAGGAATTTTGATTTCCTGTTACTTACCTGTAGATTTTTTAAAAAATTGAACAGTTTTCAAATTTTTTACTTCAGCACCCCTCTACATTCTTAAAAATAATTTTAAGACCTCAAAGAACTTTTACTTATTTAAATTGTATCTGTCAATATTTACCTATCGGAAAGTAAAGCTGAAGGATCCAAAATATGAACTTATGCTTTTATTTTAAAATAATAAATTCACAAAATTTTAACAGAAATGGCATGTTTTTCTTTAAAAAATATATTTTGTAATATCAAAAATTAGTCAAAAATGGGCATTGTTTTACATTTTGAAGATCTCTTTTGTGTCCGGCTTAATAGAAACAATTAGGTTCTTATAAATTTTACATTCAATATGTTGTTTTGCTTGAACTACACATAATTCAACTTCACAAAAATATGTAATTGGAAGAGAAAGGGGCCCATGGAAATCATGTGGTAGTTTGAAGGAGGCCTGCTGATCACAGCAATAGGCGCATATTTATTTACTTTCTGAGTCTGGTTTAATTCACTGGATGATGTTCTCCAATTTCATCCTTTTACTAGAAAAACATAGAATTTTATTATCCTTTATGGCTGAGTAAAATGCCATTGAATGTGTGTGTGTATATATATGTGTGTGTGTGTGTGTGTGTGTGTATACACATACATATATCATTTAAGAGAATAGTTTTAATAGCCTTTTTTAATAATTGTGGATATTGTTCTTTGAGATTATACTCAACAAGATATAGCTTCTTAAAGGTTAGTTGCTATGTGGACCCTGGACCCTATAAATGAACTTTTCATATTCTGTTATATTAAAATCCATTGAATTATTTTGCACCTTGAATGAATCTTTTACCTTGGCATGATTTTCATAACACTATGCCTTGGTCATTTGGAAAATACTGAATTACAGAGTTATACAGATCTTTCAAACATTGACACATTTCAATATCAAAATCTGTTCCATAATAGCATCACTGATCTCATCAGATGCCTTCAAGTATTTGAAAGCTGCCAAGTTCACAGTGGTGGACATGAATTCAAACTTGAAAAGCAGCTAGTGCTACTAAGGAACTATATTTTAGATACTATTTAACTTTAATTAATTAAAATTTAAATAGACAGTGTAGTTAATGTATACCACAGTGCATAGCAGAGGTCTATAACATCCTGGCCCACTAGGGAGGTAAATGTGGCTGGAGTCCACCTAATCAAAACAATAGTCTAAATACAACTATTCAGCAGTGTGTGGACTGAGAGAATAAATCAAAGTACACACAAATTTTAGTTTTAAATATATATAACTAGTTCAAACATACACATATGCAAATTATACATATATAAACATACACAAACATATAATCATCTGAATTCATATACTAATTACTATGTTAAAAGACTTCCATCATTATTGATAAATTGTGTTTTACATGTCCCCAGTACTTCCCACAGGATGCCACTTTTATCATATCCTTCCAGCATTTATATTTGACTAGATCTCAAACTTTCTCCTCTTTGCATTGTCAATAGCCTTCTTCTTTTAGACTTATAGTGTGTACAACTATTCCTTATAAGTGGCTCTGCTTCCTATGGTTTCAGTTACCAGTGGTTCAGCAAGAAGGCTGAGTTACAGTAAGATATGTAGAGAGAGACCATAGTCACATAACTTTCATTGCAATGTATTGCTATAATTGTCATTTTTACTATTATTTACTGCAATGAATATCTTCCTGTGACTATAAATTAAACTCTGTCATAGGTATGTATGCGTAGGGAAAGCCTCAGTGTATATATATATATATATATATATATATATATATATGGTTTGACATTATCCACAGCTTCATCCACAGGTGGTCTTGGAGCACATCCCCTATAGATAAGGGGGTACTACTGTATTACTAGTTCTCTAACATTTCCTCAATAATTCTTTCTTTTCCCAGAGTTCTTAGGCATAACTCAAGCTTTTATACTTTTCCAAAAAAATTACACATATTTGATTAATAAGATACACCTTCAAAACCACAGAAAATTCCTAGATTTAATAAACACTGAGAAGTACACAAATTTCATGGAGACATTACTCACACATCACATATTGGTGAATTGACATGTAGTTGTTACATTCTTCCTGGATGTGGGCCTGTTCACTGATGGGTGAAATCCATCCTAAACTGAACCTTTGAAAACATCTCGAAGTAGTTCTCAATATTATATAATAATATTTAGTAAGCACTGTGCTCCATAAACATCAAGACATTGTACTATGTTGTTGAATGAGCTTCTTACTTCTTATAAAAATACCCAAAGAGGTCCATGCTGTCAGTATGTCCACTTCTGCGAGAAGAAAAAAAAAAAAACTGAGTGTTACATAAATTAGGCATGTTTTCCAGCAAATAGCAGCACTGGAATTCAACCTAGGCTTGGGGGGACTCCAGAGCCACCTAAGTGATAAATGGGAAGATAGATGTGTGGCTGGGTAGACAGACGGACAGAAAGGTAGAGGGAATGACAGACAGGTAGATGGATACAGACAGAGGCAGTGAACACCCTTTGCCAACTGCTGCCAAGTGCACCAACACTCACAAGTCCAGCGTGCTGCATTTGCAAGCTGGTCGGGTTAACAGATGGACAACCAGCAGGGTACAGATTGAAAAACCAGAGCAAGAGCTGTGGAATACACAGCTCTGAGGTTTCTGCAAAACCTCCACAAGGAAGTAGCAGGCAAATACGTTCTGTTTTACTGAGCACGATGTGGGTAAAATTGCTCTCTGTAGTTGCAGAATTTTGTTTTTCCCCTTTCCTAGTTACTGATCAAGAGACAGCCTCAGATGCTCCGGAGAAAAGCTCTCTCTCCTCTCAAGACCCTCAGCAGCCCACAAGTACTGGTAAGTGTCTAAATCACTGAAACGTGACAAAAGATCGTGCCTGCTTGGGAAGGTCACTATAAGTTTTAAGAATATTTTTATTTTAATTTTTAATAAGACCACACAAGACCCACCCCCTCCACTGGCTCCAGCTTTGTGTTGTCCTGAAATAGGGCTACATCAGGAGGGCTGACGTATAATGGAGGACCAGAGAGCAACAGCATGCCTTGACCATTCAGTACAATTTTGCTGGAGATGTAATGCACGCACACACAAAATTGCACACATGATTATGAACTTGAATTTCCTCTGTGGTAAATGACAAGGTTGAATTCATTTATGAGGAGACTCATTCTTGTTTTCCCTTGCCTAGAACAGAGCAAACACAAAACACAGATTTAATTTCATTCCACACAGAGCCCAGAAGGAGGAGCTGGGATCTGGTATTGTCATGGAATAACAAAATCACCTTTGAAAACACATCAATTACTTGGTTGTCAAAAACTTAGGTCATTTATTTTTTATGACAGCATTGAGCTATAAGACCAATTGAGAAAGCTTGAGTTATAACTACAGT